GACATGAAACCATTCATGGAAGAGGAAGTTGAAGAATCCATCCTCCCCTTGATGCCCTGGCGCGCCGAAGTCAAAGCGACAATGCCAAAAATTGTTCGCGGCGGCGTGCTAGCTGACGAGGTTGGATATGGCAAGACGGCTGTTATTCTTGGTCTTATCGACGCGCAGTATAAAACCGACACTATACCCCCTGAAGACAATGGGCTGATTTCAACAAAAGCAACTCTGATCGTTGTGCCCAGCAATGTCTTCAAGCAGTGGGTTTCGGAGACCTCGAAGTTCCTCGAAGGAAAATATAAAGTTTTGGCGATATCGTCAATCAACAAGATCAGCATCCGGGAAGTCAAAGAAGCAGATATCGTTATTTTGTCATGGAGTATCCTGGCGAATGATTCATACTACAAACGACTTCAACAATTTACCGGAACACCCCAGGCTCCCGCAAAATCGAGCGGAGGAACAGGTCGAAATTTCGATGGCTGGTTCCACGACGCTCGTGCTTCCTTGCGGGAGTCTGTTGAAATATTGAAAACAGAAGGGCCTGAGGCGATGCTCCAGCAATTGGAGGCCAGACGTCGCCGAGTTCATGAGACACAGGCCAACTTCACCTACGTGCCCTCTCGACGCCTCCGTGGCCAGGCATTCGCTGATGCTAATAATGGTCGTGATGAGTCTGATGCAGAAGCAGAAGAGGATTTGGATTCTGAGTCTGACTCGGGTTTCGAAGAAATTGATGCATCTGATGCGAGACAGTCGACCGGAACAGCGAGTCCCGTGGACCAGCGGAAGCGGAGGTATAGTAGGAAGTCAGTGGAAGGTTCAAAAGAAAAGCGACAAAAGCGCCTATCGACGGACCTGGTAGAAGTGACCGATGACAAAAAGAAACGTGGAGCCAAATCAACTGCCGTGAAGGATGACCGCACAGAATTTGATATCAAAAAAGGTGTCAAAGGGCGCACCAAGCAAGACTGGCGCACTGTCAAAGCCGCATTCATCCACGCATTCAACTTCAACCGTTTGGTCATCGACGAATACACATATGCCGGAGAAGAAAGACAGGCTTCCCTGCTCTCATTGCAGGCACGCTCCAAATGGATCCTTTCTGGAACGCCAGCTCTTGGTGAATTTGCCGATATCAAGAGTATTGCGCGTTACCTTTGTCTACACCTTGGTGTGGACGACGATGGCGATTGCGACAAGCCGACGCAGAACAGCAGACTACGAAATATCAGGAAAAACCACACAGCTGTCGAGGCATTTCAATATTACCAGGCGCCCCACAGCAACGCCTGGTATCAAAACCGCCGAGAGCATGCTCAAAGATTCCTGGACCGGTTTGCGCGTCAGAACATCGCACGCATCACACACATTCCGTTGATAACGCACCTTGTCATCACCGAACAGTCCCCAGCTGAAAAGACAGCGTACGATACGTTGTTCCGAGCCGTCAAAGAAAACAAGAGACGAATCCCTGGTCTTCTGGGCTCCATTTTGTCCAAGAGCCAGTTCCCCCAAGAGGCTCTCATCATGTCCTGTGTCACAAGTCAAATCGGACAGCCTCCATGGAACCTCGAAAAGTGCCTTAAAGGCTCGCGGAATGACAAAAAGAAATCCGCCGAGATCTGGACTAAAGTGGACTCGATCACTCGACAGGCAGCGACTGTTTGGTATCGCGAAATGAACAATACCAATGCCAAAGACTGGCAGAACGCCCTGAATGGCGTCGCCAAGACTGATTCCGGGGACGCGGAACTCAACAAAAAGTTCAATGAGCTCTTAAAGGGCATCATCCACTCATACAGCGAGTGGAAACTTGACGAACAACACCGGCCAATCGAAGATTTGCTCAAGGCGCGAGTCCAAAAGATCCAGAATGCGAAGACCGGCAACACAGTGTCTGGAACACGACCTCCCAGAGTCACAGGACCTGGAGGAACCAACAATACATCTTCTAATTCAGTTTGGACAGCTGTTGAAAAATCATTATCCGCTGATGTCACCTCTCTTTTGAAGCAAGCCCTCGAGATTGACCAAGAATACCGATTCTACGAACATCTGGTGAAGATCCAAACCATTGGAATCCCACAATGTCAAAATTGCAAGAGCGATTTGGAAGAAAAGAAAGATGTCAACGTTCTCAAAATCTGTGGTCATGCCCTCTGCAAAAATTGCCTTGACGCCGCGATCACCCAACAACACAAACCCTGCCCCGTCCTTGGATGCAGCAGTCAAATTGTCCAGTCCAAGATCGTACCTGGTGAAATCCTCGTCAGCGAAGACCAAGCAATTCAGAGCACCAAGCTCAACGAGCTTGTTAAAATCATCCGCAAGGTTCCAAAGGACGAACTTATCCTCATCTTCGTGCAAATCAGCCACCTCTTGCCCGTTGCATCAAATGCCCTCAAAGCTGCGAAAATCGAGCACCGCATGGTCACACAAACCAACTTGAAGGGAATCGGCGAGTTCACTGATCCTCCCAAACCAAAGAAGGGCACCACCCAACCATCTTCCAGGCCGAAGGCTTTGATCTTGAATCTCGGAAACTCCATGGCAGCTGGATTGTAAGTTATCTCTCTCTGTGCTGTTATCTATTCTTTGTTTGAAACATTACTAATCTGATCTGATATAAAGGAATCTCCAATGCGCAAATCACGTCATCTTCTTGTCGCCATACCACACGGCTTCTGATCATGAATACGATGCGGGAATGACCCAGGCAATCGGACGGGCGCGGCGGTTCGGGCAGAACCGCAAAGTCTACGCTTATCATCTGCTGGTGAAAAACACATACGAAGTCAACATCTTCCAGAAAGGTCAATCACGCAAACTTGTTGAACGCCAAGGTGTTCCAGCTTTGATCCCGCAAGAAGAAGTTTTACCAGATGATATCGCATACGAAGGAGAGGAATTGCCAGAATAGGATCCCCCAGGTGACATTATCTTTATTCAAGTTGGGATTCACCGGTCGACCAGGTGGAGATGATCACAAGACCATGTCCTTTTTTTCGCTGCCAAAATAGACTCGCCGGTCGTCAACAAGGTCACGGTGGTTTCTGTACATGTACTTAACTGCTTTGAAATATCAAAAACTGGTCTGGTCAATCTTTGCACTTGTTGTATGACTCCCTTTAATTACGCTTCCTTTCGCTATCTTGGCTGCGCTATCTAGCTGCGCAGATCTGACATCTCTTTACTACACGGTGCCTATTAGTAGTTCATTGTCAAGATGGTTTGGGGTAATATCTATACTCATACCATACTTTTCGATATGTAATGACCCTCCGTACCTCTTAGTGATGCCCATGTTTCAATTACTGTGCAATCCTACCAATCTTTACTCCTGTGGTTTTCCACGCTCGTTCTAGATAATTGGTTTGAATGATCCCCAGGTTCATATCGGACCTCTGCACATGTTATCAGCCTCCTTTTCCTTAATCACTGGTTACTATAATGGTATGATGAAATAATAGCTACTTCTCCAAGGAAGTAGCCTACAAAGGTGATAAAGTAGCATATGTTTATAGGTCATATGACCCTGGGACTAGACAGGCAGTAATATTGTTGCCTATATCGTATTCTAAAACACTCTAGAGCTATGAGTTACATCTACTCCATACTCCGTACTATAAAGTGTTTAGTGCGACAAAAATAGACCCTAGGAGCCCAAGTACTCCATAGGAGCATATACACTCAGTTTCTCTCTGTACGGAATATAACTTCTGAATTTGAATCCCTACGTAATAGCTAGTACGCTAGCCTTTTAATAACCTCTTCCACGCGGTACGGCATGGCCCTAGCTAGATTAACAAAGTGAATCGTTGGCTTCTCCCACGCTTTCTATGCAGCATCTACTAACTATTCCATGTATCTATCCTCTTTCCATTGATATATTTTCGCTGTTTCAGTAGAATAGACGAGTTAATCCATTTTAGTAACTTAGTTATGTTGTAGAACAGTTCACCACACTACTTGATAAATTATCCCAATAACCGAAAACAAGGATAACAGATGGCATTTGCCCTAGAGGGAAGACAATCTCCGAGATCAGACAGGTTGGTCTAATGTTGTTCCTTCAGGATTCATAGGTCATTCAGTATCCCGCGAGAGTATCCCGCGGGAAAGGTAGTGGGGAGTATCGGAGATTTTCATCTCAAGGGGACGAACACGCTAAATACCGACTAAAGTTTAAATTAATTGTTTCAGACTAGGACACCTAACTAGTTCTCTTTGGTCGATTAAGGGTTCAAATAAAGTACTCATCTAGAAAACCACCTCTAAAAAACCCGAGAGATCTCAGAGATTGAAAATTGGCCTGATCCCGGCAGGCATTTCAGATCCTGCGGTAGTTACTTGTCTCACATTTTTAAATCAACCTTCTTCCCGCTTAATTAATTAAGCGATGGCCTACGCGACTAGGAATCCTCCATTCGAATCCAGGGCTGGTAGGGCGGAAGCCCTCATCCGTGGCGTAACTGGACTATGGTTGTTGAGACAGGAGTCTTGGCTGCTATCGTGAGGGTTACAGTGAAGAGGATGCAACATGGCTGATGTGGAGTGACTGCAGGATATGAAAGTAAACATACCTAAGCCACGAGGCTATAGGGATCCTTTGATCTCTTGTATGAGCCACACTGTTCGTGGCAGAAGTCCCCATAGATCATTTAAGGGTTCTATCTACAACATAAGCTCTTGGTAGCAGACACAACTCAATCATCTATTGGCATGATCGGCATTGCAATGGTGAAACATGGGGCAAAAATCTACAGGCAGATTAACGAAACATAATGAAACCGCTAGAGCTGTGTCTCTCAGGGACCAACTAACAGGCCGTTTTAAGTTGATATAATCTGTAAAAGATCGACGATGGCCCTCTCCTTAATGAAACATCTTTCTTTATAAATAAGCCCTGGTAGCCATCAATCATTACTTCTTGATCAATCTTATACCATCATTCGGCTTCGTTTTCCATTACCAAATCTTGTTTCATCCAAGTCATCAAAATGCGTTTCTTCCGGACCCTTGTCGCTCTCCCTCTGATCGCAGGCGCCATCGCTAGCCCTCTTGAGACACGCGCTACTCTCGAGAGCTGCTCTGTTGAGAGAGCGCAGATGATCAACAACGCACTCGCCCGGGCCGCAAAGATGGCCGAAGCCGGCGCCAACCTCATCCGCAGCGAATCCGACTACTCGTACAACCTCTTCCAGAGCTTTTTCAAGACCAGCAGCGTCCAGTCCCGCAACCGCGTCGCAGGTATCTTGGACAAGATTGCCACAGAGGCCACGGACGGTAACAAGGGAGTCGTGAGCTACTACTGCACTCAGGATGGCATCGACTGTGTTGACACCCACGATTTCACCATGACTGCGTACGGTGAGACAGATGGAACTTACGGAAGAATCCGGACTTGTCCTGCGTACTTCACCAAGTTCCCTGCATCGTCAAACACCTGCGATGTTCTGGATCAGGCTACCTCTACCTTGCACGAGATGGCCCATACCAAGGGCATCTTCGGTCCTGAGACGTATGGCTATGATACTGTTCATGGGCTGAGTTCTTCTGCCGCCCTTGAGAATGCTGAGAGCTATGCTTTCTTCTCCAAGTGTAAGTTTCTCGATTGTTTCCATGGAAATGGTTTATCACTAACATTGTTGCTAAGCGGCTTTCCTCAACTGCGAGATCACCAACTAAGCAGATTCCTTTGAGGACAGAAGGTGTGTAATAGAGCACTTATTATCGGGGTTGGGGGGTTGTCAGGAGTGGTGTCGAGGTTGTTTGATTATCATTAGTGGTCAGCTCTTATTCATTTCGTCACAAAGGCGATGCTGAGTTGACTCGCATCCGACCATTGTAGTATACTTTCACGAGACTCTGGAGTCAGTACAAAGAAATTTTATCCTTACCATATATATGCATTATCCGCAAAATAAAAGATTTAGGGGTCACGTTTCAGCTCAATCTCTCCGCCGGAAGATGTATACTAGGAGTTTGGTAGCTACCGAAAGGCACTAAAGAAGGCCTCTCGGTATGGTATATAAGGGATCTTGGCGCTGCTTCTTTTCTTGTATTGGACATCTTGCTTTTAGCATAAAATCAGCCTCTGTAGAACAACAGTAAAGGGATATAGCCACTTCACTAGATCCCAACATCTCCCCTTCCCATTCGATGTTTTGCTACGTTTCCGGAACCGGCCCAGTCTAGAAATGCTTTGTCAAATTTCATGCCAGATCCTTCAGATTGATGCATTAGTATGAAGTTGGACCGCGGAGGGTCTTCAGTTTGGGTGTTCGCTGTATAAGTTAATCAAACGCCGCTCGATGTCCATAAGCACTAATCGACGTCGCTCTCCCACCAATCCTGGCGACATGCCCTACAATTCATAAGTTTATTGGTCCATTCTACAGCAGAGATTCAAGTACCTAAGTAAGCCCTTCATGTAGACTTCTCGGCTACCGTTACATGTGAGGCAACTGTTGAAGCGCATTCATCCTAGATTGATGGCGCGCCATTACAAGATAGGTGTTGGCGACGCCGCGCGTCTCTGGATACCCTGATCTTCCCTGAGCTTAAAATCTAAGAGAAAGGGAGAGAATATGAGAACTATTATTATTCTTCGATAGAATGACAAAGGCTAGCTAGTTGTTAGTTATTTCATAACGTATCTCACTACCGAGCTGGCCACACCACCGAGCTGGCCACCCCACCCAACCTACTAATTTCAAATGTATACAACTCAACCAAAACTCCATTAAATTAAATACACTGAAATGATCTATTCTCTGGATATACATTTCTTTTATGACCCAGATTTTTATATAACCCGCATATTGGTAATACTCTCGTTCGGGGTTATAAAGGTGGCGAAGGCCTTCTCTGCCGGTAGGGGGGAGGCGCTTCAACCGCTTCAACCGGCTCAGTAATCAATTAAGAAGCTTTAAGAACTAAGAGGCCTTCTTTAGTAGGTATCTACCTCCTAGATCTAGCTTAATTCTGCTTTTTCTTCTCATTTTTAGCGCGTAAATCGCTTACTTCTTTCTTTAGTAATATAGCAGATTAGACTTCGGCAGAACCCATTTTGGGTCGGAACCTCCGACCCAAAACCCAACCCTCCATAAACAGGACAAACACCTAATTCTTGGCAGTTGCATTAATTATAAAGACTTGGTTTGTATTTTTGATTATTCTTGTGTTTTTCACTTTCTATCTTATAGCTTCTGATTTCTATTTTCTTTACAGTTGAATTTAGAGAAAATGAGGGCATTCTAATTGTAAAATAACTATCTCATCGTTATATCATAACTATTTAGATATACTGAGTGTACTCGCGCCCTTCTAGTTGTATAGTTAACTGGAAGATCTATATTATTCTTAATATTATCTTCTTTAATACCCTTATCCTCGCTATTTCTATCGTCCTTATTAACAGATACGACACTTCTCCGCCGTTTTCCTAAAATAACCGTACTTAGCTATGGTATCTCTACTTCCATAATATCATCCTCCTTATTATCACTAATCGGTTCTAGATTATTTATACCGTTTTCGCGTTCTTTATCTTCTACTTATATTTCTTAGAATAAGAGATACTTATTTAATAGTAGACGCTCCTTATCCTCTATCTCAAACTTTGATATAAATATATATATTATAAGCTCTTAAATGGTCAATAGTTTTAGAGAACCCCGACAGTAGTAATATATATCGCGTATAGAGTTAAAAAGTCGCTTAACTCTAGCTCTAGTAGCTAGAATAGTAAGTATATCCTACGCTAAGTTAGTAAGTACAGGGAATATACGCTTATTCTCTCTCTAAAAAACATAAGGTATAGTCGCAATAGTGGCTATATTTAGGGTTAGTTATAATATAATAAGGGGGTCTAGAGTACTTACGACTATTAAGATACTGGCTTAGTTTGTTATTAACTAATAATACTTCCGATAGAGGTAGTGCCTACCTATATATCTTCTTAAGTTTAGATAGTCCTAAGTTTAAAGATACCGCTCTAGGCTCCCCTCTATATATAAGACAGTGCTTATATGGTTTAAGGCGATCTTTAAGACTCTTCTAATACCGACCTCGCTAATTAACCTCCGGATCCTTCTAATCTTTACTTATAAAGAATTAGAGCTTATTCTATAGGGATATAATTAGACCTGGCAGTGACCCTCCGGGTGGTCCATGACCTTGGACCCTCCGAGGGTCCAGCGACCCGCCAAGACCTAAATTTTGACATAAATATATATAAATCATGGTTTATAAGCATATTATTTCCTAATTAGGATAGGTTATGCATGCATAATTTCCTTGGCGGGTCCAGAATCCGGACTTTGGACCCTCCTTAGCGTCTTGGCGGGTCCAAATGGAGGGTCACTGCCAGGTCTAGATATAATAGTACCAATTACATAAAGATTACCATATATATTATTAGTTATACTATAGTACTATAATAGTTTGGTTTTAGCAGCCCTAAGGGTATTAAGTATCACCTTTTTCTATAGAACTTTCTTCTATTAGAGCTATGCTTTCGATTGCTTAAGATAAGTAAACAGCTTATTATATATACTAAATACTAAGTAGATAGTGATATCTTTTATCTACGAAAGCATAGTGGTAAATTAGTAGAAGGGATAGGTGATCTAGAGAAGATATTTAACTTAGCGCTATTCCTCGTAAGTGATTATAAGCTCGTCTATCTAGTATTACTTATAGAATGGCTTAAGAAATGGTTAGAGCCTTTTCGTACGTCGGAGTATTAAAAAAGTCGAGTTCTAGCGGGTCTTTATATCTTAAATTAGTATAAGCTTTGGTTCTATAGACTAAAGCTTATATAATAAATCCTGCTATTATAGACTTATATTAATAAAAACTACTAGTTACCTAATCTATAATAGTATTAAGATTAGCGTTAAGTATAGATTTAGGGCTAAAGTCTTACCTTATCTAGAATATAGATAATCTTAAGCGTTTTAGATAGTTTTATTAAAGGACCTTTATAAGGGCGTTTACCTTAGCCTTTATACTAATCTAACTTAGCTATCTTATTTATTAGTATTACTTTTATTTTACTAAGAAGATTATTAAGGCTTAGTTAGATTATATATATAATGTATGGTACTTAGATAATAGCTAAATCATTATTAATCTTAAGTAGACCTGGCAGTGACCCTCCGGGTGGTCCATGATCTTGGACC